GGGATTGCCCTGACCCATGTGCAGATGTCTGTACTGTGCAGGATGTGCATTACTGTTCCATGTCTGAGCAGGAAGGAGCCCAGGGCATCCAAATTCAAATCCTTCAATATTTCAGCTTATTTAAACCTTTCACCTGTAAAAATTGAAATGAAGTAAAGAGGAGGAATAATGACTAAAATATGTAAGTGATGTAAGCATTGTAGTGAATGTGATTTCTACAAGAAATTAATTTTGCTGGAGAGGACTTTATTTTTCCACAAATAGAAGTCAATTCCTCCTTCGCTATTATTCCAGAGCCAGAAAACCAGAGTTCAGGCTAGAATCTGCTTCTGATATTCATGTGTTTTTCTAGGGGTGCACACATAGATGTAGTAATGCCTAATACCTGCAAAACCCCCATGTATTCATAACTACTGCCTACGCTGTACAAGGTGAAGGATTTGTTCAGAGAAACAGAATCAGACCCAGTATTTGCATCTTTACCTTATGTACTTACAATTAGTTTGAGCTTCATATGACTGGGAAAAGGTCAGAAGATGCACAAGACTTCCCCCACCTCCCATGCTCATTGCTTCTGGAAGCACCTCGTAGGATTTTACTGCTTTCGACTCCCTGGAGCTTCACAGCAGCCCACCCAGGGATATGAGGAACGGAAACAAGGATAAATGTCTTAATATCTTCTCGTCTTTTTTTTTTTTTTTTAAATTTCCACCCTTTTCCTACTGTAACAACTTGTGGGAAGCAAAAACAGAGGAGCAGAGTGTGTCTACTTTATTATAAGCAGCAGACCGGTTCATTTTGCAAGGCCAGTCTGCTTTCAGATTATCACAAAACTCTCTATAAGAACAGAGCTTCCTCTTTTGATAACTGTATTTTACAACTGGCACAAACAAGATGCACACATGATTACTGATCAAGGTATTTATGGTATAATCATCAGCATGTATGATTTGTAGCTAGCTGGCTTTTCCAGGAAGCTGGTTGCTGTGATGTTATTATAGCCCATTGCTTCTGAAGCAATAAAACTGGGACCAGATACATTCCCCAAAACCCGAAAGGTTTAGGTGGTTGTGATTTGTTGTACTGCATTGTGTATCGTCATTGTTTATTTCCATGGTGATCACCGTACTCTTGCCAGGGTTACACATTGGTGTAACAGTTTTTTGTGCTTGTTCTCTTTGCATCCAAAAGATGCAACATTTCCACAGCAGATATGTTTCCTTCCTCTTCCTTGTTTTCCCTGACATCACTTTAGGGTGCCTGGCCAAAAATAGCTGCACATCTCTGACAGATGTACTCAGGGGCTGCTGTAGTGCAGGATTTTGAATCTAAACTTCTAAGTGTAGCACAGGCTGTCAGACCTGGAACATATCCAAGTCAGATCCAGAGCTCTGAGTGGCTCTGGGGTGAGAAGTCATCCCCCTCAGCACATGGGGTGTTAGCCTGGGTCTCAGTTACCGACTCTAACAAAAACCTCTTGTCCTAGTCTGACCAAGCCACTTCCTTGTAGCTCTTCAGGCATATCAAAGGGAGATAATGGTGTCATGCAGTGGTCCAGCTGTTTGAACAAATAGTTGGAGGACTCCAGGCAAACAGAGAGATCACTTAAGGACCAGTTTGGATAGACTGCATATCATGAAAGAACTAAACCAAGCAGATATTTGTAGTTTCAGACAACCATGATAATCTCAGTTCAGATTAAAGATAAAAAAATGGCTGTTTGGTCCCCAAATCTTAAGATAGCATGCTTATTACCCAGAGTCATGCAATGAAGACCAACTTTTTTTTTTTTTTTTTAGCCCCATAAAGGCTAAAGACTTTCAATTCCCATTCATTTGGTTTTCAACCAACTGTCTTAATTTATCTTTGGTATTTATATGTCAGGCCACTTATGTCCCACATGACTCCTGTGTGACAGAAAATTCTTGAAAGTCGCTTTTCAGATAAGGAAGAGAAGCATGGGGAAATTAAGGGAAAGTATTTGCAAAGTATGTAGGCCTGAAGTGAGCAGCCCTAAATCACCTTCCCCAGGTCTCACAAAAAGTCCTCATTCCCCACAGTGCAGGTTAACGGCCACATCCCAGGCCAGCAGCATAACTGCTGGGCTACCTGTCCCCTCTCTGCTGACATAGAGCAGAAAGTGGGTTCTGTTTGCCCTGGGAGAGGTGTGCATCCACTGCCCATGCCACCGAGTCCTTCAGGGCAGCTTTACTGAATCCTTTTCCATGCTAAAGTCTGGTCCCAACTTTCATGGGATATGGCCACAGCATATGCATGACTTGGGATACAGGCAGTCTCAGGTGATAATCCCTCAGGGTACACACCGATATGTATATTGACATACACATACACTGGTCCACTAGTAACTTCCACATCATTCAAGTGGGAAAATAAAGGTCAGGAGAAGCAATAGCAGCACTTCTCATTAAGAGAAACCAACATGCTTTTATGAGGGAGATCAGTGCTATTATTTACCATTCGCAGAAGCAGGCAGAAAGGGGCGAAATTATATTCCCAGCACCCTAAACCAGACCCTGGGAAAAGCCAGAACTGAGGCAGTGACACCTGACTCCCAGGCTAATGCACTGGATTAAACTGCTTTTTCAGAATTGGCTCACTTGCAGGATAACAGGGCATGGTTGCTTTGTCGCTTCTGCACCAGCCCCGATCTTTACTAAGAGGGATGGAAGGAGAGGAGGAACAGTAGCCAGACCTTCCCCTTTTCAGTGATGGTGAGCCATGAGCCTGGCTCAAACCACCTTCTGTAACACCAGCTGCATACAGGGATTTTTTAACATCCGAGCTTGGAAAGGTAGAGCATTTAAAGGCATGATGTGTGTTCTATCAGAATCAATAGTTTCTGTACAATTTTCATCCCAGTGCAAATGCGATGTATTTGGGGAATGCAACACTGCTAGTTGAACGTATTTTTGTTATTGCATTTAAGACATATTTCTAGAAAATGAGGATACGGAGATACAAACCTTGAAGTCCCATGGGTTGTATCATTCCTGCAAACTTTGCCTCTTTAAAACTCACATGCTCACGTCTTTATGCTAAAACTTTTACCTATAGGAAGTTCTCTCTAGGAAATTCTCTCACACTGATCCCAGTGAAACAAGTCATAGCATTGTCTGCTTTAATCTTCAAGCTTATACCATGCACACCCCCCATTTGACAAGTAAGCTATGCGGAAATATTCAAAAGTGCATCCTCAAAGCCAAAATAAATATGTCAAAAGAGCTAGCCCATAGTCTGATGAACAAATGCCATCTGTGTGCCACAGGTAGTTTACTGCAGTATCCTCTAAAAATAGCATCTGTTTTCTGCTTTGACCTTTCTGCTAGGTGCTGCTGGCACCAGGTTCATCTGTACAGATGATCTTTCTGTCTTAAATGATCTGGGTTAACACCGGCCTGCAAAATGTCAAAGAGTTTATCTGTAATCAGTCCTTGCCCTGGATCACCCCATAGTCCTATAAATGGCCGTACTGGCAACCCTGAAGGGGCTCGGTGGTTATGGGACTGAACAGCCAGGGTGTTCAGGGACAGGGAATAAATCACCATCGGCCAGCAGTACATATTTAGGTAAGAGGCTTATCTCCCAGGGTGCTTTAACCACCACCCCCATCACTTCTCTCAAACCTGCAACTGAATACACTTGTGCACATGTAAATTAAGCCTCTTTCCCAGTCTCCTGCACCTGTTCTCCAAGTTTCTTGTTCAGGTTTCATTTTAGGGAATTTCGCCCAAATTCAGGCATGCCAAGAATGTCCTATTTTATCCAGACCCTTTCCAGAGTCCCTCTTGACAGCTTCTTGGCCAGCTGGCCTCTGTCCTTTCTGCTCTCTTATAAAGAGACCAGAACTGTTACTGCAGCCTGGGAAACATACCCGAGGCGTTGCCTCTTACCTGCGTTACCAGGGTACGTGCAACAGCTTCTGCTGTTGTGATGGGGGCAGCGATGTTTTAAAAGTCGCTGCCTTTAGCTTTAGGACTTAACCAACACGCATGGAGATGCCATACCACTGAAAAAGCAAATGAGCTCTTAGCTATTAAGTCACTAAGAGATGTCAGCAGAGCATCCTCTTGCCCACAGGCCCTCTGGCCAGAGCCAGCTCTGAGGTTCCTTCACTCTGTTCACTAGTGGGTACAAGGGACCTCTCCATTCCTAGGGGAAGGAGTTGCTACTGGCACAATATGTATTTTGTACCTATGTCTGTCGCATTACTCATATAACTAAACCTTGTTCATATTCTCCATTATTTCAATGAGACTTCCTGATTGAGCAAGAACTTCTTATAGGAATAAGGCATAAAAAAAGAGGGATTTTTCCTGTGACTGTTATTGAGTCTCATGCCGCAAAGCTGTTGTAATCTCATCATCAAAACCTTCCTCTTCTGAAAAACTTGCTTAAGGGAAGGTCTTGCGACATAGTCACAGCAATCACAAAAACGCCTTCTTCACGGCAGAATTTCCTGAAAAATTACTCTTGTTCTCTATCCATCATTCAGATATTATAGTTCATCTGAGAAGATAAAACTTAAAATGGGGTTTGGTCTCTGTGCAAGCCTCAGTCATTGGAATTTAAGTACTACTTTCATGAGGAGCAATACTTTGCTTCACAGCCAATTGTTTGCTTCTCACTAAAATGCTGCTTAGTGGTGATGGGATAAGGATAAGTAAGTCTTCAAGAAGTCTTTTTGAAAAGCCTCAGCTAATAAATGGGCTTGTGTTCCTTCGCTTGATTGTCCTTTATCTTTACAACTATCAGACATTGGTGTAATAGGCTTCCAACAGTACAGCTCCTTGAAGAACAGAATCAGATGACAGCAATTTAAGGAAGAAATTTTTTCTTTCTGAATTCTGGCATGAGGTAGTGCCTGTCACCACTCATGCATATAAACAGCTAAACTTCAGTCCAGCTGCAGTAACAGAGGCTTTCTTGATGTTTCCAGCTGCTGAGTTGCCAGCAGCCCTTGTTTTTGTTAAGGGGGAACTCCAGTCAGGCCACCTGGACCTGTCTCCTCCCTTCACCTAAGAGCAAATCCATCTGTGCACAACTAAAGCTGCATTACGTGTGCTGAGAAACCAACCCTGCTGCCAGCATCCTGCCTGGGCAGCCGGGGTGGAAGTTGGAAGAACCATGCCTCAGCGGGTGCCAGGGTGGGCACTAGTAGTTCCTGCAGAACAGCTCTGCCACTGGCTGTCCTCTGCACCCACCTGTCTCCCCACAGGTCCAGGCCACTCCCGCTCTGGGAAGCAGGTTTTTCCTGTAGAGTTCTAGAGAACAGCCCTGTAGAGTTCAGCTCCTCTGATTCAGGACCTCAACCCTGCCGAAGTCACTAGAGTTAGTTTATGGGTACATAACAGCTCAGAAAAAAACTCCTTCAAAATATTTAAGCAAATAAAGCTACTAGAACCGAGACCCTTTCCTTATTATCCTTAAGATGACTCAACACAGGAGGTGAAGTTTAGGTCTCTTATGACTGTCAACAGCCTGGCTGCTCAAGCGGTTGGCATGCATTGCTTTAATTCACACTGCTGTCTGGAAAGAAGTAGTTTAAAATAAGCTGCTTCTTTTTTCGTGAGTTTTATTTCCTTCTCTCCAGGTCAGCTTTAAAGTTTGACAATCTGGAGTTTATTTTAGTTAACCTCTCATCCCTCCAAACACACTTTTTTGCATTCACATATCCCACTGAAATGAACATTTTGGCAACAAAATAGAAAACTGAGCCTTTGTACATATTTAAGGATGGGTGGTGGTTTTTTTTCTCCATTGTTTCAATTTAATCTTGAAAGAAAATCTCTTCTTCTAAGGATGCCGCCCTCATCTTTACCAGTCACTTCCCTCCCACGGACAGGTAGAAGAACTTGTCCTGCAAGACAAACAAGAAAACAGACAAACCAGGATTTCGGAGCAGATTGTTCTTGTATGCTGTCTTAACCAGCCCCGCCAGACAAATTCTTGTTGCTGTACAGGGTTAAGAGGTGACCGTTTCCATCCCACCTGCATTTACTTATCACATTCTGTCCATCCTCCGAACACTGACAGTTTAACTCTTTGTTTTATCCCCGAGGAGCTCTGTAAAATGACAAAAGCTGACACAACACCGCCCCCACCCCCCAAACAGAAAAATTTACTGTCAGAAAACCTAAAAATAGATTGGGTTAAGCTGGGAATGAAGCCCTGTATCCATGCACGGGACTTCTTGTGCAGCCAGGAGGGCTACAAGCATGTAGCTGGCCAATGGGGTGTGCATCCCCTTGCCCCCAGCACTGCCAGCACCAGCCCACAGGCTCTGTCTGGGAACATGCCACGAGGCTGGCAGGCACATGGAGCATCCCAGGGTGCAGGGCCAGCTGCATGTGGTGGCAAGGCTGCCTTTCCTGAGCGTGGGAGGCAGCTTGTGGGAGTGCGTTTCATGGGTCAGCCTCACATGTGTGTCCCCTTGGGTTGGAACTGCCTGGGAAGTGCTGGCCAGGCCAGGGACAGGCCAAGGTTGGTGGTGTGGGCTGTGCAGCAGTGAGCAGTGGGGCTGCTGGCAGCCACCATGGTGCTGCCACATTGCTGAGGCATGGGGGACAGCCTTGGGGTGCTGCCGCTCCTCTGTGTCACTGCCCACATCAATCATGTGCACAGGGAAGGGTCTGGGCACAACACTGTGGGGAAGTTCACATCCTGGTGCCCCCACTGCACAACCTGACCATCCACTTCAGCTCTGCGTACGTGGCCATCAACCAGCCCTTTGTGGAAGTCATGCTGTGGGACCAGAGTGCCATCGATCTGCTGGCATGGTCCAAGGACACCTACAGCCCTGAACAGCACTTCTGGGTGACACTCAACAGGATCATCAGGTCATCAGGTTCGGGGAGGCCATGGGGTTCCTGCCACGGGGGTTCCTGTCCTCGCTGTCCCAACACCTTCTGCCATTTGGCCGTTGTGTGCTGCCAACTCTTTGTGGTGGCCACCACGGTTCATCTCTCCATGGAGGTGTTTCCAGCTGTGACTCTTGGTGGTTCCCACCAGCAGGTTGTTGCCACTCCTGTTGCTTCATATGGAGAAACACCCAGGCAGGTGACAGCCTGTGTTGGCAGCACTACTGGCAAGCGAGGAAGGTGTGCTGAACCTCTTCTATTTTGACGTCCTGGGCATTTATCCACTTGCCTGAGCTTTTTCACCTGTGACTGGGTATAGGGAGGTCCCAGGAGTAGTGGGCTTTACAGTGTGATGGGTTCAGGGACACCGCACACCTTCCTGCTTAGCAGCAGCTGCCCTGTCCCTAATGCAGCTTGGAATCCACTTGGCTTCCACCCTTTTGGCCATACGGTCTCACTAGTCCCACATGTACTTCCTTGTACCATCTTGCTTCTCCAAAAGCCACCGAAGGTTCTTGTGAACTTCCAGGTCTCTCCCACACACTGGTAGGCTGCACGCTTTCAGCTGTAGGGGAGAAGGTATACATACCTATACGTGACCCACTCCAAGCCTTATGGCTGATTTCAATCAGGCCTTGAAGAATAATATTCCCAAGGGTGATGTGTAAACCATTTCAGGCAGATTCCTGAAGTACAGATTCCTGAAGGGCACCAGCTTACAAAAGCAGGAGAAAAGCTCAGATCGGTTGGTGGCACAGAAGTGTAAGGAAGTTATACATTTCCCTAGAGAGAGATTCCAACGAGAAAGCGCAGGCAGCTTCAGGGGACTGGTGGAGATAGCCCGTTGGCAGAGACATTTTAACCCATGCGTTGCTCTGATCCTGGAATCACAGGTTCGGGACTTGGAAGGTCAAGGCAAATCAGGCAGCCTTTTATGCTGCAATATTTCCAGCCCAATGTCAGTTTATGTGCGTGTTACAGAAACGCCAGTGCAGTGACTTGTTTTGTGTAAGCTGCCTATGTTTGTCTTCACAATACACGGTAGCGATGCAAGGCGGAAAAGGGAGTGGGCTGCCTCTTGGAGCCAACGCACGCTGATCAGCTCTCACTGGTATTGCAATGGCAAAAAAACAGGAAGAGCTTAGTGGAGAAGCAGGTTGTGGTGCCTTTGTCCTGTGAATGAGATCCAGGCTCAGAAGCAGTGTTTTTCCTGCCTCCAAACCTCCACCACCAAGGGAAGCCATGAAATTAAAGGCATTGGAGGGGCTGGCCTGTCTTTCTAGTCACTCGAGGCTGCCTTCACACCCAAGCCGTGCAGGTCTGCTGGTGGCTGTTTCTAAGACCTGGTGGCAGCAAACTTGTGTCCAGGGCAAAGTTTATATTAACTTTTACCATCAGCACCACTTTTCAGACAAGCTGTATTTAAAAGAACAGGATCCCAGAACAGCTTCTGAATCTGAAATTAGTTGCTCAAACAAGTATTTAAAGGAAAATGTGGTAAATCCATTTTTTTCCCACTAAGCTGATCTACACTTTCCTCCACTCTTTAATTAACTTACAAAAATGCCTGGTTTACTCAGTTTGGGAGGTGGTGAATAATGTGAAGTCAGTAGTTTTGTATTCCTAGAAGGCAGTACCTTCCAGTGTTTTAGTGGATGTCCTGGGGTTGTTCCTGTTTTGTCAGTTATCTTTCTGCTTTCCCACTGTGTCAGCGTTTTCCAAGTCTTCCCGCACACCACATTTACTGCCATCTGTTACGAACAGGATTTTAATTTGGGATGGTAGCGGACATCCCAGGCCATTTAAAGTGTTTATCCCCTGCCATCACTGCCTCTTTTCCTCTTTTATAAAGTGGTATCTTTAGCTTGATGCTTTCTGCCAAAGAGTAACATTTTCTGAATTTTCCCTGGGACAAAACCACACTTTTTTTGGCACGTTATTTTATTTGCTAAGGGACCAATATACAGAAGGGGAGAAATAAAGTAATGAAGTTATGGTTATAGCTGCCATTTATCTCTGTTTATGGCAAAGTGCTACAGTGGTTCTGCTGTTGGATCATACCATCTTTTTGTATCTGATATAAAAGTCATGACTCAGTATTTGCAAACAACCCTCCTTACTTACCAGGAACAAGCTATCCTTAAAAACAGAGAGCAAAGCAAGCAAACAGAAAAAAAAACCTGCTTATGTTTAACCTTTCTCCCATCCAATTTCTCATAAGACACCCCCCTGACATGATGCAGTGCCTTTAGGGTCTCATTTGTCCTTCACTGCACTTCTGTTCAAGCTCACAAGCAAAATAGTTGTTGGATTATGGTAAATGTAGAGGTCCTGTGCTTGTTGCCATCTAGGCAAGGAACAGCAAAAACTCAAAATAGTAACAAAATCTTACTTTGCTTTCACCTTTATTTTTTAGAAAACACCAAGGTTAGGACGATGACACACTCCCAGCTACTGTTTTGGCATCCAGGGCTTCTTGCCTGTGCAGTCACCAGCTGAAATTGTGCTTTACAGAACTGCTGGCAAATCCCTTCATTTAGGACTGTGGTTAACCAGCAAAATAAGTAGCCTATATTAAAACTCATTTTAAATGAAGTTATGAAAATCTGCCTAGAATTATGTATATTATCATATAACATTATAGGCTATAATTGAGTTTCAGCAACTCCATCCAGTTATGTCATGCTTGAATTTGTTCTGTTAGCATCCTTTCTTAAAAAACCCCAGGAAAGTGTTTACCACAAAATTCACATGAAGGTACTATGTGTCAATGGCCCAGTGTTCAAATAGCCCTTGGAGGGCAGTGCTGGTCAGGAAGGTGACATGAGTGATCGTACGTGTAAGCAGCATCATACCGAGGCTGATGCAAAAGAGGGATCTTATTTCTCAGGTGAAGTGTTTAGGTCTCTTGGGCTGACACCTTGCCTGTGTCACAAAAGCTGCTTTCAATGAAGAAGCCTGACGACAAGGTTAGCAGCCAGGCATCTGTTGATGCTTGTTCCCCAGCATTTCATCCCAGTTCTGTGGAGAAAGGTCCCAGAGAGTGGACATAAACCTGAACACATGACTGTTAAAAGAGCTAATTCTTTGATTTTCTGTTCTCTAATTGCAGGTGTCCCAGGCTCCATGCCCAATGCATCATGGGAAGGTGGCCTGAAAGCAGTGAAGTGGACTGATATGGAAGAGAGCCATGGAGGTTGTCATGGTAATGTATACATTTTTCTCCACTTTTCCTTCCTGATCATACAGTGAAAAACACTCAGCTGTTGATCCTGTACTCCTACAGACCCTAATCATAATGTGAGGCAGTCTTTAGGCAGCACCTCATCAGAGAGAAGACATTAAGAAGGCATCATCTCCTTCATAGTCCATACGTGAATGTCAGTAGCCACATAAATAGCGAGAAAGCTGGAACAGTTGCTTCTTCCTCAGGAATTTTATAGCATAGATCATCCTTGGAAAGAGAATATTTGGCAGCACTTAGGGCTCACATGAGTTAGCTGACTATTTTCCTGAAAGCCTTAGGGGAATTTTCTCGCAGGCGGGTGGGAACAGTCCATGTGTATGTCCTATGGCGGGAGGCAGATGCGCTAGAGCCAGTGGCAGCGTGCAAGGCAGCTGTCCTGTGTGGACTAGGACACATCCCAGCCCTCAGCTGCGTACCGATGCCTGCCACAGACACAGCTCACCAGGAACCTAAGGCACTGCGGGCTGACGATGGTGGTTGAGCTCTGAGATTTCCTATGTGACATTACTTCACGACATGACGTTAGCAGTAGAAAATCTTCTGCATGGCACACTTTGTTTTTCAGCCACCGGTTTGTACATTGCTTACTGCTGCCGCTTCTGACATATCCCAGTGGGGCAAGAAAGGGAATGCCAAAATGCTAATGATGATAGAATTTTTATTTCAAGGGTTTTTAATCTGTTTGTGTTGAGGGGAGAAATTTTGAGAGCTTAATTCAGCCTCAATTATAGCAGTTTCACATCAGCATAACTACACTGAAATCAGTGAAATTACATGAATATCATGCAGAGTTAGTTAATATAAGTATCATTTTCTTTCCACTGACAGAATGAAATTCTCCTTGGTTTGGTTGTGTTTAGCCTTGCCTGAGAAAGAGCCGCAAGCAGTAACACTTCTTTTCTGATCTATCTCCTCATTTTGCTCATTATTTATTCTGAAGTAACCTTCTTAACTTCCTCCCATTACTCATACTTATTCCCACAGCATGTCCAGTAGGCCTTTTAGCATGTTTGCTGTGCAGGAGACTATTAAAGTGGCTTTGCAGATAAAATTTCTCAAAACAGAATCATTTGGATCCTTGATTCCGACATGGCTTTTTTTTCCTTTTTCTTTTGGCAGGCCATTATGTCAGAGGCATTTGTGTGTATGGAACAGGTGACCTCAAGTGGCTTTTTAACTCCACCTGTATGTTTGCAAATAAGTTTGAGCTTAAAACATACCCCCTGACCGTTGAGTGCCTGGAGCTGAGACACCGGCAGAGAACCTTGTCCCAGAGTGAGGTTCAGGTGGAACCCAACTGGTATTTTTAGCTAGCAAAACCCCAGGCTACAACATCAATTAAAGTGATCAAGAGGATCTTAATTTCTGCTGTGCCAGAAGCATAAACTCATGAGACGGGTGTCTTTAGGATGTTCTGTAAATATAGCTCAGGTCAGCTTGCCTCATACTGCCTGCAAATCTCACCTTCCGCTTAACACCCAGAGGCCAAGGCACGAGAGATCCAAAAAGGGAGACCAGGACAAAGCTCCTCTGCAGCTGGAGGCACTTTGCACTTTTACCATTTTTAATGGGCTGGTTTTCAGCCTCAACTTTTGCCTTGCTACACTGTCATTGCTATTTCAGGGTTATGCACCCCTGGCACTTCTCGGGTCTAAAAGACAAGTGTTTACTTTCGGTGAGCAAAAACGTAATGAATCACAGTCAGCAAGATCTTAAAGCAGGAACACAACTGCTGGCTATACATACAGAGACCGTTTTGCCAAAGATACAGATATTTACTGCAGAGAACTGACAGAAAAATGCTGGAAATGGAATAAAGACGCTGCACTTCCCAGATCTTCCCTGTTCTTTAAATATCTGTTGGGATGAGGTTTGTAAGAGAAAAAAGCATTTCTACTAGATCAGTGGGTGTGGTTAGAAAAATGAGAAGGGCTTTCAGGCACAGGAGCCCTTCTCCATGTCTGAAAAACAGGGGTTTGCATTATTTTCTTACTTGGCCAACTAACAGAACTGGAAAAAAAAAACCCAAACCCTCTCTACACACAGGTTTTGTCCCACCAGTGTCCTTAGATTGTCATGTGTAAGGACACAGAGGGAAAGATGGAAAGTGGGGAAAGAAGTAGCAAGATAAATATTTTCAGGACTGAGCGGTGGCAATAACTCAGTAATTCTGTGTCATATTTTGATATGACAACAGCCTTCCCGAATTTACTTTCCTTCATCTTCATATAAAGGTTAATGCACATACTTAACCTTGGGGTTCACTTCGCCACAGCCCTATTTCTATCCCCCAAAACAGCCACTAGAGGGAAGCCATCGAATATCTCAGCAGATTTTCCCTTCCAAGTCAGCATAACCCTTTAAAGCACACAAAATCTCAACGGATTAGGCATGCCACAGAGAAGAAAAGCAGTGCTCGGGAATATTTTAGTATGGCAAACCAAAGGTAAAAGTTACGGGCATCGTGTCTGAAAAACAAAGCAAGGAAACAAATCTATGAATGCTTCTTCCTGTAGCTGTGACAGTTTTGTTTATGTGGCATTTTAGCAGAACTGCTGAGTGACCCCTGTCCCAGAGGCAGTATAAATTGCGGTGCCTGAATCTAAGGAGGGTGCGTGCTGCTCTCCCGCTTCTCTTCTGAACAAGTGGTGATGGCTCAGAGTCCCTCTCGAGTAACAGGAATTTAGCACCAACTTTATTAAACCATTGCTAATTTCAGGGTCTTTTGACAAACTGGATTGCAAACTGCAGCAGTTCAGAAATGACAACACATCACATTTGGATGTCCTGAAGCATGGCTGGTAACCCCCAGGGAAGGTTCTGAACAGGCAGGATCTGCCTCAGTCAGCTTATTCCACATTTATAGCTGCCAACACTTGATAACACAGATTCCTGCAGAATGACACCAAGAATTTACCTGCAGAGCAGAACTTTAGTGGAGATCCTGCTCAGTTTTTCGCGGAAGGGAGAAGAAGAGGGCTTTGCTAACTCCTGCCATGGTGGCAGCTGGAGAGACAAGTATTTCAGTGAGAGTCATTCTTTTAAAGAGGGTATTGTAGGGTGTCCAGCGTGAGAAGTTTGGAAACAGCCCCTGCCTCACACCCCACACCCCCCCTTTGCTGTAACAAGATGAAAGTCCCCCAGACTGAAACATCTCAAATAAAATAAAAGCACTGTCACCCTTTTATGAGAATATTTAAAGTAGTCCAGACTACAATCAAGATTATATGTCATTGTTCAGACTCCACAGGCAAATGGCAAAATAGCTCCCAACACCAGAAGCAATAAGCTTGGCAGTTTGAAACTACAGATATTCAAGGGTGTTGTACTCAGAGCCTGAACAAATACAGATATTTTAAGAGTGGGTTGTATTACCTGTATAAGTAAGACCCCAGAAAAGCATCACAGTTTTCTGTGCTGAAAACTGTCCTAAGAAAGCCTTAGGACAAAAGCGGAGAGCATGTAGGAGGAGGAAAACAAAGATGGAAAAAGGAAAACACAGCACATGAGCTAATGAACTGAGGATGTGAAGAGCTTATCAAAACTAAATAAGATAAAAAATACTGGTTTGGTAGGTGTCATTTGGTCAGCATAAGCCTTCTTCTCCAGATAACCTGGGGCAACACCGCTAGTTTGCCACAGAGCTCATAAAACTGCAATAGGTGGCCCTTTTTTGGTTTGTTGTGTTTGTTTAGCGAAAGACTGACAA